TGTGTGTGTGTGTGTGTGTGTGTGTGGCCAGCTCAGCCCACCAGGGGGCGGGGCTGGCATGTGGTGCTGGGGGATTGAACCGCGGTCCCAGTGCTTTGCTAAGCTTGTTCTAAGTAGGTGCTTTAGACCACTGAGCCATCTCACCAGCCCCTCTTCTAGATTCTTGAGTGCTCCTGGAGGAATACTCCAAAGAGCAAACTTTCCACAGAACAAAGGGAAAACTCCTCAGCTGAACACAAGGATCCTCTTGAAGCTGATTCAACCTGCCTGTGTAGTTTTAGCTTCTGTTTTCCCACTACACACCCTACACTTCAGCCTCACTGAATCCCTTACTATTTCCTTTTTCATTTCTCCTTCGAAGAATATCTTTGCCTCTTTCTGATCCCCCTTCAGTTCACCTCTGTCTGCACAATGATTTCCTTTCTATATAGTTCATCTGTTCAACCTTCAGACCTACCTCAATGTTGTCTACTTCTCAGAGCCTTCCTTTATATTCATTCTCTTTGTTGCACTTTGTATACCCTCCTATTATTGCACTTATCATGCTGTTACATAAACATTAGTTTGAGAACCTAGTAAGTTTCTACTAGATTGAGAACACCTAAAAGAAAAACATTTGCTCATCACTGGATCTTCCTTGAAACAAATGGACTTTCCCAGTTAAATCAAAGGGTTCATTTGAAAGTTTAGACAGGTGAGGTAGAAAAGTAGACCGAACAGGCAATAAGGTTTGGTGATACATGCACCCCTCAATACCAACCTAAGATGTTTTAGTTTTATTCTGTAAAAAGTAAGAAACGTTGAAGATAGGTAATCAGAGAGTTAGCAGTAAAAGCAATAATCTAATATGCCCCCCAAAACTAGAATATGTAAATCTGGTGGTTAAATTAGAGCAAATAAAAGCAAAAATATGGCAGGCGTGGTGGCACACACCTGTAATCCCATCAGTCCGGAGGCTGAGGTAGGAGGATTGATGCAAGTTTTGAGGTCAGCCTGGGCTACATAGTGAGTTTGAGATCAGCCTGAATTACATAGCAAGAACATAAAAAAAAAAAAAAGAAAGAAAGAAAGAAGAAGAAGAAGAAGAAAAGAAAAGAAACAGAGTGAGTCTGTTATAAAGCACAAGTTAGATTGTGCCACTTCTCTGTCCAAACTCACCCTTTGGGTACCTAACCTACTTAGAGAAAAATGAAAGTCCTTGGGGCCAGGGAGATGGCTCAGTGGAATAAACACTTCCCTGGCAAGCGTAAGGACCTGAGTTCAATCCCTGTTTCCACCAAATACATAAAATAAATAAACAATTAAAAAAACCAAAGGACGAAAGTCCTTGTAATAATCTGCTCTATACAATATGGTTTCTGATTAGCTTTCTGACTTCATTTTTCACTACTCTTTCCCTTGCTCATTATACTCTGTCTCTTAGCTTTTCCTCTAACATCTCAGGCACGTATGAACCGGCTCTTTCCTTTTTAGATAATTCTTCCCCAAATGCCCACAAGGATTCAGATCTTTACCCAAATGCAATTTTATTAAAAAAGCTTTTCTAAATCTTCTATTAAATATCTTAGCTTATTTCCCATCTCTATCCCCTTTAGTTTTACTTATTTGGTATCAGGAATCAAACTCAGGACCTTGCACTTGCCAGGCAGGCACTTGTGCTGCTCAGCTATATCCCCAACCTCCAGTTTTATTTTTATTAATACTAATCACTTAGATGTATACATTTTACTTATCTAATTATCTACCCCTCTTCCTACATAGAATGTAAATTCCAAGAGGGTAAAAATGTATGCCCTTTTGGTTCACAGATCTATTTTCAATTTCAAGAACAGTATCTGACATATAATAAGCTTTTCAAAAAGTATTTGTTGAGTGAGGAATGAATAAAATATCTAAGTGATAACACCAGACATGGTTAGATCCAGCCTGTCATTGGAACTGCCTCTACTGCCTAGCTGTTCTTTTCCTCTGCATTGGCTTCATTCTCCTATAAGTATGATGGCAAGACCACCAGCAGTAGCTGCAGTCCACATTTGAACAATTCAGCAGCCTAAATGAGAGTGCCTCTTTCCTGACTGTACCAGTAAAATCCTTGGAAATAAATCTTAAAGATTTGGGCTTGGGTCAAATTACAATCCTCAAATCAGTCTCCACGGGTAGATGAATAAAAATGTTATAACTGGCTACACCTGGATCCTGGGGCTTCCTAGACTGGTAAAATCCAGGTTTACTTGGAATAGGGATAGTGGTGGTTCCCTAAAACAAATGGGGTGCTGTCAGAAGAAGGGTAGCAACTAGGCCAGAAGAAACAACAGACATTCACATCATCAGCGATAGCCCACCAACAGTTGACCGCAGAACTCCTGCCTCTCCATCTCTGCACCAACCAGAGGGCTCTGACAGTTAACTAGGTCCCCTTTTCCTGCAAGTTTCTCACCAGAATGCCAGTTAAGGTCTTCCTTATTCTCCAGTTCAAATATATCTATCTCCCTTCTGATGGCTCTGAACAGATGTGGTCTCTCTCCTTCCTCTGAGCGTCCTGGTGTTTCCATTTCTTTTGGAGCCAGCTGGCACGCTGTGCCTTATCCTTTATGTGCACACATTTGCGCCTCGTGCCCTTCGACAACAGTGGCGATCAATGCTCACCCGAGTCGCCAGGGCGCGCTAGGCGCCAGGCGCGAGGCTGTAGAGGGCGGGAGGCTTTGTGATTGGCAGGAGCTGCCGTCAATCGGGCGCAGGCGGGCGGGACGTCCGCGAGGCCCGTGGGCGGGAGGCGGGACCTTCATGAATGGGGCGCGCGGCGCGCTGGCTGCAGTCTGCGCTCGCTCCAGTCCCGGCCGGGAGTGGGTGGGAGGAAGCGAGGTGCGGGGGGAAGGGAAAGAGCGCGGGGGGCGGGGAGGGGTAGTGCCCGGGCTGTGTGCCGAGAGCCGCGAGGCCGCGGATGTGAGGCAGAGCTGGTCGCCGCGGTTCCCGGCGCTTCGGTGCGGCTGTGCACTGCGTCGCCTCCAGCCTTGCAGCGCGCTGCCCTCGGGGGACCCTGAGGAGCCCCTGGCGCACCCGACGGCGCAGAAGAGTCGCGACTGGGGATATAGGGCCGAGGGAGGAGCCGGTCCAGCGGCCGAGCCCAGCACTCCCGGGGCGTGGAGGTGGGGGGCTGAGCCCCCCACAGCCCCCCGCTGCGATGGGCAACTTGGAGAGCTCCGAGGGGGGCCCGGGCGACCCGCCTTCTGTTGCGCTGCTGCTGCCGCCAGGAAAGATGCCGATGCCTGAGCCCTGTGAGCTGGAGGAGAGGTTCGCCCTGGTGCTGGTGAGAGCCGCGTCCACCCCCTTCTCCTCCTATCGCCCCCCGGGTTCCTGAGCAGCTCTCAGCAGCCACTGGCTGGCCTGCACAGCCCGTCGGGGACCTCAGCACGATGCCTTCTCCGCTGAGCACTTGGAGGAGGAGGAGGAGGAGCAGGAGGAGGAGGAGGAGGAGGAGGAAGAGGAGGGGGGGGAGGGGGAGGAGGGGTCCCCAGCCCGGGACCGTCCCGGGATCCAGACGTCCCCCTCCTCCCTTCCACCCTGACGCCCTGCTCTGCTCTCCTCTCCCCACCGTCTCAGAATTCCCAACCCGGAACCTCTCGTTGATGGGTTGAATTTAGAAGCTGGCCGGCTAGCGTCTCAACCTAGGTCGGGCTTCACTGAGTGGGGAGACCGCCCCTCGTGTTAACATGGAGGCTTTCCAGAGTGTGGGTCCCGCTCCCAGCTCAGACCAGATGTTTGGGGAAAGTGGGGGCCTGGGGAGGGGCCGGCAGCTCTTGAAGGGGAGGAATAGAGTGATGCCATTTTACTTATTTTCGGGACGGCCTGCAGGCATCCTGCTAAGTTACAGTAGATTTGCCTAAAAGGCTGAACATGTGGATAAGCCGTTTCACTAGGGTATTTTTTGGATTGAAACAATATACAAACTGGCCGCCTTTTCTCTCCCAATTTCATGTTAAGCCCTAGTGACTCTTTTTGTTCTTTTTCTGTAGCCTCTCTGTAGTGTATGGATGGGTGTTTAGAGCTGACTCGGGGACTCACCTTGATGTGGGAGTTGGTTATTGATGTCAGTACTTCTGTGAAGTGCCAGGTTCTGAGCTGGTATCGCTGAGGTGGATTCCAGAATGTGTTGGTGAATGCGAACATTTTGCTAACAGAACTTTTGAGAAACTTGGGGAAATTATTCCTAGTTCTCCAGAAAATGAAGACGCAATAATAATTCTTGGGTTACTGTTGATATGGCCTGAAGGGCTGACTTTACCTTTGCTTATGAGGAGGGATAAGTTATGGACTTAGTAGCCTTATTGGATTTCATCTGCCTTGGAAGAGGGAGATTAGATCTGTTGGCAGCAGTGGAGCTGTCTAGAGATCCTGGCCTCTGTGATGGTGGAGAGCCTGACATCAGTCCACTGGCACCAGAGCCAGCTCAGAGAAGGTTCGTGATGACGTTGTAAGGAGAAGCTGTGCCACTGGCACCCCTGCCTGCCAGCTCTTTGAAAGATGGAAGCGATTTGGGCCACACATCCTGTGACCCTCTGCCTTTCTCCTGGCCTCCTCCGGGGGATGGGGTGAGTCAGTCTTTACTAATGTGCTGTGACCATCTCAGAGGCTGAGGAGAAGTGGCTGGGACTTACTGCCATGGAGAACAAGAGCTCAACTGTTGGGGAAAAAGAGTGGGAGGGAATCTACCCTCGGGTGGGGATGTGAAAACCCCTAGTGAGCTGGCACTAGTTAGCTATAATCTGAGGTCGATTGGATGGGAGGATGAGGTAGGAGCCACAAGGCTTTTGTGCGAGCTCAGAACAAGAGCCCATCATGTCTTCACTGGAGCTTGGTAGGCAGGCCAGTTTGTTTAGTTCCCAAATTGATGGTTTACCATTCACAAAATGCACATGATGTCCTGTTTACTATCCAGAGCATCAGAGAGCCCAGGTTAAGTATGAAACTGGACCACCCACTTGCAGTTCTTCCCTTCTGTATAAATTTTTGATTTGTTTCCTTGTGGCTTTTGTTTTGGTCTTGTTTCTGTGTCCCTGAGTAGCTACTGATGGAGGGTTGGAACAGGGCAGGCCAGGGCTAGTTGGCTGTCTTAGAGGAGGGGAGTTAATTTCAATTTTCTAACACAGAAATCATGTTTTCTTGGGGATTTGAGTTCTCTAGGTACTGTTTCTTTGTATATAGCCAGGGCTAGCCTCAAACCCTATAATCCTCCTGCCTCCATCTTCCAAATAGTAGGATTACAGGAATGTGGCATTATGCCTGGCTATCAGGGAACTCAGAAAGATATCTTTCCACTGCTCCTGAAAGGTGCCCTATCCACCATTTTTTGGGAGTAGTACTGATTGAGCTAGATGTTTGACCTCAGCACAGGCCCAGGTATGTTTCCTGAAAAGTCAGAAGCAACAGTATAGTGCTAAAAACAAATATTTTTGTTTTTAATCTCTTTGAACATAGATTCCACCTTCTATAAAATAATTCCTGACCTTGTGAGATTACAAGAACTGGATGTATTAAAGCACTTGGCACCTAGTAGTTACTTAATATAGATTAACTTTTTTTTTTTCCAGTACTGGGGATTGTATCCAGGGGTGCTTTACCAGAGATCCATCCCTCTCCCTTTTTATTTTGAGATAGCTGGCTTAGTTTTCTTTACTTGATGATGTGAGATACACAAGCTGCTCCCTTTTTCTTTTCTAGTTTGCCAGCTTCACTGTAATCAGTTGGATTTATGAAAAAGCTGTTTGGGGGTTGTTGAAGTGATGTAATGTCCTGGTTGAGCAAATGAACTTTCTAGTCAAGAGTGGGTGATGCCATTGTCTTCTTCAAGTTAGAAAGTATTTGGCCTTAAGTAAGTTACTATTTAATTCTCTGAATTTCAGTTTCCTCTTTTTTTTTTTTTTTTTTTT